AATATATATATATATATATCAATATAAAGACCTTTGTAAAAATAAAGCAGAACTATTTTTACCATCTTTAAAAGAGATCTTTATAACAATACTATCAACGTGTTTAAAGATTCTGTCCAGCATAACTTATTTCCCCCCTTATGTTCCTGCAAATACCACCTCCATTTTCTAGCTTGAAGATAATTATTACTTTTGAAAATGTAGATAACATTAACCCCCCCCTTTTTATTAAAAAAACCCAAAAAACAGTGAAACAGTATTGTCCTAGATACAATGACAATAAGCAATAAAGTTCTTTACATACAAAGCCCACTTGGTTAGACTGTGAAGATTTCATAACAAATCTGGCACCTTGCAGGTATTATAAAACGATACAACAAAATCTTCCTTCAAAGTCAGGTACTAAAAATTGATATATAACTTCTGTACCAAAGTAACTTATTCTTTCATCTAGCATCACTGTAAAATCACCATATATATCTGCTGCACATTAACAATCATGATGTGAATTTTTCACAAATATTTCAGCATTCCTATTTGACATACTAATTAATGACATTCAAAATGCCAATTAGTAATACGTATCTTGTTCACATGGCTTAATACAAAAATAACTGGTATTTTTTCTAGTAACTTCTTTTAAAAACACAATCCTATTTATCTATAAGGAAAAATAACAGAAATGTACCTGTTCCAGTAGCTCCAAAACTGGTCCTGCAAGTAGGCTTGGTGGCTACTTTCATCACCAAATGAGGCTTTGCTTTCAATCCAGTGAATTATGTGTCCTTCAACAGCTAGGGTGACAGCAGAAAATAAAGTGAACTCTGAAAATCAAACTGAACAGCCTGTAACGTTTTAGGAATATCATATTGACCCCCCAATCTACCCCATAATTCATGCTTGCAATAGAGTTACATATTTGTAAATGTATCTTTCAAATATGCACATAGGACATTTATTTTTCAGAAAAGTACCAGAAAATATTTTAATGCATAATTATATCCATTTCAGTTTAATTACACCCTGTTCTAGATATTTGCATTTATTCTAACACAAACAGAATGTAAAGAAAAAGAGACCAGACTAAGGTGCAACTGCATTTTACTTTGCTGGAAAGGAGTTGTCAGGTAAGGAATTGAAAACTTCCATTGAGTAACAAGCAGAGTTAGATAAGCTACTAAAGACAGAAACTTCTCACCAATCCAGAGCGGAATGTGTGAGAAGGGCAAGAAAGTTTATCATAGATATGTATCTGCTTCCTTACTTTTGCAAAACCAGTAATGCTTCACTAGAAAGAAGTTAGGAATAAGAAGGCTTATGTGAAAAAATGTGCTTTTGAATTTCTGTTTCTTTGAAGGCTGTGGAATTTGCTTTGGTTCACGTCCTTCCTCATTTCTTGCAGGAGTAAATTGCTAATATTAATAAAATTATCTTTTTTTTTAGTAAAAGTCCTCTCTGAAGTTGACAATTTTGGAAGAGAAATCATGAGAATCAGTCTAAAAGATTATTCTTTCTCCAAAAACTAGTGTTGGATATCGTTAGTGAGGTCTTTAAAAATGTTTCCTTTGAGTTCCCTCTGAGCCATGATGTCTTAGCCTAAGTTTGACCTGGGATGAGGTACTCAAAGGGCATGCAGACCCAGAAGCACGATACAAAAAGATTAGAAGAGGTTATGGCAGCACGTGATTGACCACAGACTGTAAAATTATTTGGGAAATCTGGGTAACTCACTCATGAGGTGGTGAGGCACTGAAACAGGTTGCCCGGAGAAGCTGTGGATGCCCCCCGCCTGGAAGTGTTCAAGGCCAGGTGGGATGGGGCTGTGAGCAATCTGGTCTAGGGGAGGGTGTCCCTGCCTATGGCAGGGGAGTTGGAACTACATGATCTTTAAGGTCTCTTCCAACCCAAACCATTCTATGACTCTATGATTCTATGAAGTCACCACGCCTGCTGTCAGTAACCAAGTTAACTTGTGTAGGCCTATACTAATACATCCTCCCCCCATCCCCAAAACCTTTAGAACCCAGGAGATATAATAGCTGAGGCATAAACTGTGTAGTCATTTGAGAAGCAATTTCTAAGAAATGATTGCCTTTCCTAGCAATGCATTGAGTCATGAAGAAAAGAATGCAAGGACTGCCATACATTACTTCAGATCGGACAACAGGTAGCAAATTATTTCCTGCCAATCTCAAATGACTGAAATAATTTGAAGAAAATTATCACTATTCAGATTTTGAGAGACAAATCCATACGAACAAATTAATGGCTATTTTTAACCTTCTTTCTAATAGGGTAATATTATAAACCCAAGAATTCTTTTGGGTGTTTTCCAGTTTACCTTCTTAAGCATTAAAAAACCTAGCTCCATCTAGCTGCTTTTCTAGTTTCCATTTCTAGCTCCTGAATAGCTGGGATATAACCTTATCTGTTTCTGTAAAAGTGAGTGTCATAATACCATGTATTCTGTATATTGTGGTCCACACTGTTGGGGAATCTTATCCATGTACATAAGTATCTGAAGGGCAGGTGTTAAGAAGAGGGAGCCAGCCTCTTTTCAGTGGGGCCCAGTCACAGGACCAGAGGCAGGGGGCCCAAGCTGAAACACAGGAGGGTCCACCTGAACATCAGGAAACACTTTGTTACTGTGAGGGTGCCTGAGCACTGGCACAGGTTGCCCAGAGAGGTTGTGGAGTCTCCATCCTTGAAGATAATCAAAAACTGTCTGGATATAGTCCTGGCCAACCAGCTCAGGGTGACCTTGCTTGAGCAGAAGATCACCAGAGCTCCCTTCCAGCCTCAGCCATTCTGTGATTCTAGAGTTTCACAATCTTCCCCGCTAACTTTAGACATGATAAAAACCAACTGCTTCCTCACCCCCTCAAATCCTTCATAGCTTCCTGAGTCCCTCCACAAATAAAAGGCATGGAAGTGAAGAAGTAGAAATTAATTGAAAACTCTGCAAGTGTGCCTTGGCAAGAGTGAATTGCAGATCCTTAGGAAGCCAAATCTCATTGTTTCAAATATGGAGCAGTTCAGTTACAAAAGTATTTTTTATTTTGTACATACAAACTCTTATTAACATCACTATAATTTTTCTTTTTTGGAAATGTGATTAGGAATACAAACATCACTGAGCTAAGGAAAGTCTAAAATTTTTTCACAATACTCTCTAATACATAGTTGTTTACCTATTGGATAACGGATTATTGTGCTGAAAGACGGTATCTCAAGAGCTTCTGAGTAGTGAGACATTTTATAGTACACACTCAATTCCTTATACCAGTGTACAAATCAGTTGTCTCAGTAAGAATTTCAACTGTTGTCAATATGAAGAACAAAAAAACCCCAGTCATGTGTATGACGTTCACACAGTGCTTTCAGCCTTATTTTCTCTGAGACAAACCAGTAAGCATCTGCACAGACAGGTACTGCGTTTATGGAGGCCAAACAGAAGTCTTTCGGCATGAAAGTCAATTTACAAAAGGTGATTAATAATTCTTCACACTTGGACAACACGGATGTTTTTTCTTCCATGGCCCAGTCACTAGGCCATCTGATTGCCTTCTTACATGGCCTCAACACCAGAAACTGTAGATGAACTTTGACATCACCTTTATACCTACTTTTATTCCTTTTTGCTTCTTGCTATGCAGGCTTTTAAGAAACAATAGAGAACTGCAGACTTGTATTTAGATGCAAAGTGAATAACTGCACAATGGCAAACGAGTAACTGCACAACGACAAACCTTTAGGCAATGATCTATAGGTGTAATGGTAATACTCTTAAGACCGCTTTGAATTGATTGGCGCTAGAAGTTTAAGACAATTATAGGTACTTCAGAGTTCAGTTCATAAAGACAGTGTGTAGAGTAGGTTAGAGGGAGTAGGGAATTGGGGGTTCTTATTGTTGCTTGTTTTTATTTTTTTCTTTTTGTGATAATGAGACAAAAATACGCAGAGACCAAAGAGGAAACACTGGGTAATACTACCCATGATCAAACCTGTCTGACTCAAACTAGAAGTTCTTTATAATTATTGGGTAACTACTGAAAAAAAGAGACTGATTTGTAGTAGCCTATAATATACTTCACTTAAGTAGCCATAGTATGTTAGCACAAACACTTCTACACAAAATAAAATAATAAAAATTCTTTTTTAAAAGACTTACCTACTGGCACTTCTAAAATAAAGTCTGGTGTTTTGTCATAACCCTTCGCACGAAGCTGATCTTCAGCTGTACATAGAGAATAAGAACTATTGTTTATAAAACTATTCTATTAAGTAGACAGCAGTATAATTAATTTTATTTTAAATAAGAGTGCAAGAATTACTAATGCAGTCATACATATCTTTCTTATGCATCCAATGCTGTGTCAGATTAAATGAACCTTCGTAGAAAACTTGAAGCATGGATATAAAAATGCTTCTTTGTCATCCCTGCATTTTTATGTCTTCATTATAAACATCATTAATTCAAGCTGTCATACAGTATTTTATAACCCTCAAATATTCAAAATAAAGAGGTATATTCGCTGATTGAAAGAAGAGTCTCCCCACATTAGGAAGCTGTTAAGATTAATCCTACCAACACCACAAATGTAGATATACTGCAGCTGCCTTCTTGGTTTTATTTTAATGTTAGCATAAGTTGTAAAAAAAGGAACAAGAAAAACCTTCTCTTCCATAAATTTATTAAAGAGGAGAGAAGCCACAGTTTCAGTTTCTCTTACATCCTGCATTCTACAGAATTTATCTAATTTCAGGACGTACAACATATTGTTAACAGAAATTCTGTTAACATTAACTATACAACTCTATTGCTTACAAATATGAGAGCTGAGTATTTCAAGAAACAATATTAAGGAGTGAGCAAGATAAAACTGCAAAAACCAAAAGATGCTTCCTTTAAAAAAAAAAAAAAGCCAAAGCAAGCCCTTAATATTTTCTAAACTATTGTCCTTGATTTCCGATACCATTACATTGGTATTTCTGAAATACCATTTCTCCATTAGAATTTGGAGTGACCTGGTCATTCAATTCCAGGCATGGCTTTCTGTCTTCACCCAAGCTCAACTAATGGCACTACCCAGTAACAAGTAAGGCTGAGTAGCCCCTTAACACCTACTGGGCTGTTGACATTGTCATGCATCCCATTCGCCTTTCTACATCACCTTTGATTAAAATTAATGGTCCATTCTCACTGTTGGGTAGCTTATTTCCAATCCATTTATCAGGTTAGGACAGTAGTTTCATGGCCAATGTTCAGAACTGAGTTTTAGAATACTTTGTGCATATCCTGAACGGTCAGCAGTTTGAGTCCAAGTAACATTTTAATGACAAGAAAAACATACACTCTTAGAAATATTTTAAAAGTGCCTAAAGCAAACTCCCCTCCTCTTTCTCATTGAAGAACATAACTCTGAAGTATTTTTTTTAATATAGTGAACTAGTACTGAAAGTGGGACAGAAGTAATTTTGGAAAGTTGTACATTCACTTGTGTGAACACTGCAATAGCTATTTATTCTTTTTGACAGCTGTAGTATTTCTTTTGAAATTTGAGAATATTTCTTCACTGTAAGAACACTATATTGTAAATACAAGTCTTTCCACTGCAGCATTTCATTATATCATACAATCAGCTGTTAAACTTTTGCAGGATTTGGAGACAGACTTGGTTGTTGGCTATTTTTTCACAGACTGTCAGGTATATGGATAAAAGATGTTTAGATTAACAAGGTTCTAATTTAACAGAACCTATGAATAAAGAGTTTTATGCCATAACATAAAAATGAATTAATGTTCTAAGTAATCTCTTAATCTTGATAAAAATAAAGAATAATCCAGTTTTATCCAACTCTATTTAACTGTAACCTGCTCTTAATTGTTTAAAAAAATCTAGAAAAGACAACGGCATGTCCCAGCTGAAATTTTCATTATTTACCAACACACAAACGGCAATAGAAAGGTCAGTCTTTTCTATCAGGTCTTACAAATGTATCACAAATTCAGGGAAATGTACTTTAAAAAACCTTCCTGAAAATCAGGACAGATGCAAAAACATTTTCTGATGGGTCAACTTGGCAGGTCTCTGAACTGGAGTTTGCATCAGCATTACTTTTAACATTCTCCAGCAGGCTCTTTTTTCAAGGATGCCTGATTACTTTTAAAATCATTTGACAGCAATGCATGGCTTGAAAAAGAACGTCTTTTGTTTCAGATCTGTTTCTGAACGTTTTTACTTGGTTTCTCCTAACATTTTGTATTAAGATAAACATTGAAAAATATGTTAAAAACCACGTTTATTATTGATGTGGGTTGTCTGTCATGTGCAGGAACATAATTATATATTACTCGCTCTTCAGGTATTTTGAAGCTTTATACATCTGGGAAAAAAAAAAAAGAATTACAGAAACTCCCCACAATCTCCATAAACTTTTTTTTTTTTAAACAAAAACCCCACCAAAAGAAAAGAAGTTCTAGCTTTTCAGCCCAGTTCTAGCTTTTCACATTGGTCCAGAAGGTACAGAGGTAGCATTCTGCACCTTAAAAGATCTTTTAGCTCTTGCATGGATGAAGAGAAAAATTTAACAAGTGGTTGAAAGCCAGCCCACAGCAGCTTTGACAGTTACATTTATGCATCCACAGATTTGAAATTACATTGAAACAGCCCTAATAAGTAGTTATTCTACAGATTCCCCATTAATTTAGATTTCCAACAAAACTGGAGCTTCATCTTTACTATAACGTTACACTCAATCATAACCACAGAAACTGCAAGAATTCTGTTTCTTTAACAAGTGTTAAAAAGTAACGGAATTGTGAATACAGCAATCTAAGTCATAAGCCACCTTCAACAGTTCAACACAGCCTTAGAAAGCCTGAATTTGTTGACTTATAGGAAACACCGTCATCTCTTCTGTTTTACTGAGGTTTTCTTTAAGTAGTTTTGGAACCAATTTTTCAGAAAGGAAAGATTTTATTGGAGGGGTTCAGTAGGGTTCATCTTGCAGATACTTAGGAAAAGTTTGGTTTTTTTTAATCATACCTAGAACCTGAGATACATGCAATGCACAGAAATAATGCAGAAATAATAAATACAACCACTTAACATATCTTAAATCATGACTACATAATACTTCAGTATATATAAAATGTAAACAATAAATTAAGCCCTTTCATTTATATCTTTATATTCTAATGAGTTAACCCATTCTAGATATTTTGATTTGACAGCACAAATTTCTTAGAGCTTATTTCTAATAACAAAACTGATGCTCATCCAAGGTCATGAAACATTAAAATTTAAATCTGATTAGTGTACTACACAAGCTTGCACAAGCCAAATAAAATGATAATCGTTGGATTGAGGATCCATTAGTGAGTCATCTAGTCCATTCCCTTGTATCGTGACAGGATTGCTTTCATTACCAGCTTTGATGGATGAGTGTCAAGTCTAGCCTTGAATTTTTCATTGAAGGTGATTCCATAACCTTCCCTGGCAGCTTGCTTTATACTTATTGTTCCTACAACTGTTTAGTATTTTAATTCAACATCACCTCTGCAATTACAGCTTAAGCCTATTACCTGTATGTCTGATCTTATAGCCAAATAAGAAAACCTACCTCCTTATACTTTCACAGTGTCATCTGCAACCTTTTAAATTTGTTTAAGGTTTCCAAAATCATAACCCGAATCTAGCTTTAGGAGACCTGAGTTTCTCTGTAAAACCAGCAAAATTCCCTGATCACAGAAATTTAGTACAACACTCAACCATTAACAAAAGACAGCATTTCACTTTGTTATTGTCTCATCACATAAGGAATCCAAGATTTAAGAAGTCATTGTTAAGTTTATTATCACAATAAGAGAAATGATGCTTTAAACACTAATCATTGTTTTAATGGTACTCATATACAAGAAACGTAGTGCAGGCTAAAAGAAAAAAATGAAAATAACTTCCTAACTAATTAATCCTTAAAATAACTTTAACTATAGGGACTGTGAAAAGAGTGCTTGCATTGGTTGGGAGGCAGGGGGCAAAAATTCAGCAGAAACTGCACAGAAAGCTAAATGAGAGAATCCTCTAGCAGTTCTTTAATACATAAAGCATTTTGAAGCTAATATTTCTTATGCTTCCTCCTAAGTCTCATAAGGCCTAGATTATGGCTAATATCTCATGACACCAAAAGTAATACTGCAGCAGATATTAAAGCATTTTTTTCAGCTACTTATTCTATAAAATATTAATTGCAAGCCTGTGCATGTGCTGTATATATAGGGTATTAGGTAACCGAGTTCCTGCTCAGTTCTAAATCAATAAAAGATAACATGTACAGCATCAATCATTTTTTACTCTTCCTTTACTACCTAATACAAAGAGCGTTGAGGCTTATTTTTTTCTTAAGTAAACAGTCACTGAAATCTTTGAAGTTAAAGATTCACTGGCTAGCCTCTACTACAGATTCTTACCTATGAAAGCCAGATTTTTTTCCAAAAGCATTTCTCGCAGCAAGACTTCATGCTCATGGCCAATAGCGCTGAAAGCTTTAGGTTAAGAAATGGAAGATTACTTTGGAAAAGAACCAACTTCAGAAAAAACATCATAGTTAAAGTAATTAATGATAAAATTTATTTGCCTTCATCTGCATTTCAGAAGTGATCAGTGATTTGAACTCTAAGTTTTGAAATCCTTTCAGTACAGCATTTAGTACTTTGTGAAAATCAGACTACTGTATCATCAGCATACATTTTACAAAATTAAGACCCATTACATCATATTTATTCAGTATAAATAAGGGTAATATTTCAATTTTTGCTCTATTCCCCTCCCCTCCAATGTAAAGGAAAGTGTAAGCTTAAAACATGTCATTAAATACCTTTTAAGTTGCTCTTTACTGACTAGTGTATCAATTCTCTAATTCAGCAAAGAATTAAATAAACCATTTTTTTCTTTGTATTCTGAAATTGATAAGCATTACATCCATCTGAAACATCTCACGGTAACAAAACATCCTTTAAAATTGATTTTTCAGAAGCATGAACTAATGTCAGGGAAGGATGAAATAATATTTTATAGTGAAGTCCTTTTCACTTCACTGACGGCCTGTTGATCCAATGTGCTATTCTTAGCAATATGTAAAAAAGTCACCACGTCAAATATTTGTAATGCATCCTCCTGGAGATCAAAGTTCTATTCTGGAAGCTTTTAAGAAGAATCTTATGGAACATCAGGATAAAGGATCTTACCTTAAAAACAGTTAAGTTCCTAATGCTGTTTAGAATAACTTCTGAAAACTTAAACTACAGATCACCTTATCATTAGAGTTAATTAGTTAATTTATATCAACGCTTCATGCTGAACAGCAAAAAACCTAATTGTATGGAATCACTTCATATATATATACACAGTTTTTATCAATTGAAACGATGTATTATGTTAAATTCCACTAGCAGTTACGGAATAAAAGGGGCAAATGAAGAACAGCAAAAATGTAAGAAAAATACTGCAAACAGAATTTATAATGCACCATAAGCAGAAACACTTAGACTTAGTCTATAATAATACCTGTTATTGATGTATGGCAATGACCATGGGGCAAAACTTGTAAATAACCTCACAAGCCATTTTCTGCTCATGCAATCTAGCAGCCTAGTTTCCCGTAAGCATCTGAACTATTACTGAAAAATAGCCTCTTGGCATTTACAAAGAGGTTGACTTCATACTTTAGTCCATGCATATACAATTAGATAGTTATATTTAAAATCAATATGCAATCCTTCAGAAGACATTATGCTTTTAAAACCTTAACTTTAAATTGATTTTTAACTATTTTATGCACCTCAAAATTAACATCTAATTCAGCAACATACTTGGAGATAATGCACTCGCACAGCTTAGTATTAAACTTTTTTGTACCAAAATGGAATTGAAAAACTACTCATTACTCTCATCGATGTCACTGCGTATTCAATAACTTCACTTGAACCAGAATCTTAAGAGGACAGAAAAGACCTTTTTAGACTGCAGGCAAGCTATTCTTAAAAACTGTTCATAATTCTACATATGTGTTATTGTTATTTTTAAACATGACACTTTCAAAATACTATAGCCAGATTATTCATCAACAAAATATTAATCTTAAAATTCTGGATACGAAAATTGATGATTAACAACCTTTTAAAAAGTGCAATGTATTCGATTAATCCACTTTCAGAGAGCTGTGTTTAATATTGAAGACAGTCTCAATGAATACTTAAAAGCATGAATAAAACTACAAAATACAAATACAATTAGAACTCTATCCTTCTGCTGTTAATTGGAGCAGGGTTGAGTCTGTAGTAGACACCAGGGAAGTATTTCTAGTGGAAAGAACCTATTTTGAAAGGGGTGACCACCACATGTACCACAACCACGAGGTGGTATTTTTCATGCATAACTAAACATTTCTGTAGCTTTCCTATCCTGCAACTCTACAGTGAAATCAAGATCTTCCCCCAAACTGCATGCAGAGATTTATGCAAGGATTCTCTAGGGCTTGGGAGAGAATTGCCTTGCTAACCTGCTCAGTGACAGCAGGCCATGATTTTGAAATTGCTCCTTTGATAGCAGACTGAAACAGATGAGCTACTCATTCAAGACTTTATTAAAACAGATTTCGGGTTGCAGCAATCATTCCTAAGAAATTATAATCTTAGTCTGGAATACTCAATACTGTGTGGAGTTCCTCCAGTATTCTCACTGGATACTGAGGATCTATAATGAACCATTTCAAAACTACCAAAAACCCCCCCTCCCTTAAAATTCAAGCTACATAAGGCTTTTTTCTATGGAACTACACTGGAATGTCAGATATGGGTTTAAAAATACTAATCGGTCAATCACACATGAGCTCATGTTCATAACAAAGCAATGCCATAATGTTGATCACTATCTATGCAACTTATTAATTTAAACACAGAATAGTTGAGATTGGAAGGTATGTCCAGAGATCATCTAGTCCAACTCCACCGCTCAAAGCATGGTCAACTGGTCTTAACAGAAAACCAGACATGCATTTCAACTAATCAAAACCAAAGAGGTTCAATCAGGCATATGAATGTGTAGCCACCAAACTGACAACTTCTCGTGGCCCATCTGATTTTTGTTAAACAGTGTAAGAAAGAGCTCCGCAGTGACCCTCTAGCTGATTGAATGTAAAACAGAGGAGTATGAAACGTGTTTTGTGAAGCAGAACTTTATGTCAGGTTAAAGCTAGACACATCTCTTCCACACAGTCTAAGCTCGTCAATTGTGCACCTAAAATTTTATGGGAAAGGATACTGTTTGATGCAGTCCACCAGTGGTCCATAACAACAGTCATTCACAGTACACTGCAGACAAATAAGAGAAGTAGTATAGTGATGGGCAACTACAAAACCATTATAGTTAAACAGTATCTTAAAAACAGTAATTACTTTTCTTCAAAAAGACTATCAGATGCTGTTCAGATTTAATCACAGAAAACAAAAACTGCATGCTTTCATTCACTATAAAAGCAAGCTATTAAAAATGAAATGCTCCCCTCACAAATATTGCATTGCCATTTATGGTGCACCCTGACCTCACTGATAGTTTACGATGACAGTAATTAAATGAGGTTTAAAATCTTTTACTCTGCTAGGCAGATAACAGCATTGCCACAGGAAAAAAAAAAAAAAAGGACGAAAAAAAAGATGACAACTGTGATTAATACCTGATAGACTTGATTTGCTAGAACTCCATCTGGAATCTGAGAAGGGTCCCGTAGCATACTATTTATAAGAGTTTTGGAGGCTAGAGAAATAAAGAATAAAAACATAGAAAAAAACTGTTAGCTCAGTAATCCACTTGGCAGGAAGAGACACACACTTTTACAAGGAAAATATTGATGATGTTGGTAATTTTGAAAATTATCCAACCAGCATCTAAAACCCTATAAATTTGTAGCTACTTACCCATTCTGATACTATTAATTCTAAAAGTCTTGAAACACCAAAGCATTTTATTAGCACAGGGTGAAAGCACACCCTTGTTGACTTACTCAATTTCACTGGACAGTTTGCACTTCAGAAGCATCATGCAGCTCCTAAGGAAACTGCTTAGAGTAAAGAAAATGCAACTCAAAATAACCTCTATATCCTATGAGAACTTAAGGAAGAAGGTATGTAAAAATTCAAAACAGCCTTTGAAAACAATGTTTGGTTTCAACAATCTTAAGCACTTTATAGACTTGATGATTCCAGTTTAATAGTTTTCAAGTTTATTTATTTACTTATTTAGTCTCAATACACTTGACTGTATTTTAAAGTTGGCAAAAGGCTTTCTGTGCTGTTTTCAAATGTATAAATTTAAGACACAAAAGAAATCACAAGTGAATTTAGGACTATTTCTCAATCTTTTATACACAGATACTGATACTATGATGAAAAAAATACCCTAAATCAGGAGAAGCCTTTAGTTTATTTTCAAATACAGTCC